CTACAACATGTTTACCTGGAGGAAGAGTGGTGAGCTCCCACGTGTGAGTATATTGAAGAGCAGAGAGTTCCTCTTCTATTGCTTGACGCCACCCGGGTGAAGTAAGGGCCTCCTGGACATCCTTGGGTATAGATATAGGGTACAACTACGTTTACCTTTCCGTAAAGCAATGAGAAGATCAAGTTCAAAAGGTTCTCGTGTAGGAGCAGCAACAGGATCCGCAGATGAGGTAGAAGCCGGAGCAGGTGCCAGTGTCTGTCAATGAGTATACACGTGTCGGATTGGTGATCATTCAGTAGGAATCTGCACTGGGGGAGGTGAAGGTTTAGTCATAACAGGAACAATCGGAATGGGGTTACCAATTGGAAGAGGAAGATGAATCAATGGTGGAGAGGATGGTACTTCAGGCCCTGAAAAGAATGGTACGAACTCAAAAAAGGTGACATCAGAACAAACAAATGACTTTCGAGTGATAGGATTATAACACTTATACCCTTTCTGGGTTCGAGAATAGCCAAGAAAGATACACTTAATAGAGTGTGCATCCAGCTTGTCTAAACCAGGACTCGGATTGTGAACAAAGCACACACACCCAAAGACCCGGGGAGTTAATGGAAAGGGAGACAAGGTGGACAACAAAATAGAAAAGGGAGATTGACCGTGAAGGATGAAGGAGGGCATTTGATTAATAAGGAAACAAGCAGTAAGCACAACGTCACTACAAAAACGTTTTAGGAATGTCCATATGATGAAGAATAGATCAAGCAATCTCAAGGAGGTGACGGTTCTTTCGTTTAGCCACCCCATTTTGTTGAGGGGTAGATGCACACGAAGTTTGATGAATGATGTCATGTTGTTCCAAATATTGTTGAAAGGAAGTAAGAAAGTATTCGCGACATTATCTGAAAGAAGAACTTTTATTGGAACACCAAATTGCTTACGTATTTCAGCACGGGATTTTTGAAAAATAGAAAATAATTCACCCATTTCTTTCATTAAATAAATCCATGTCATCCTTGAACAATCATCAATAAAAATGACAAAATACTTGTGACCATTATAGGATTCAATTTTAACCAGACCCCAAACATTTGAATGGACTAAAGCAAAAGGACTCAACATACGACTATCAACCCTAGGACTAAAGGAAACCCGATGGTGTTTCCCATATTGACACGACTCACGCTGTAAAGAAGACAAATGACTCAAAGAAGAAACCTGTAGCTTGAGTGCCTTGAGAGATGGATGTTCTAGCCGAAATGCGATTGGAGAGGAGTTAAGGAAGTATTAAGTGCAATTGACGATCCACCACCGTCAAGATAATACAATCTACCGACTTCATGCACTCCACCAATCTTCTCCCTCGTCTTGAGATCCTGAAAAACACAAGATGAAGGGAAAAATGTAATAAAGCAATTAAGAGCCTTAGTTAATTTACTAACTAACATGAGATTGAATGGAAATTTAGGCACATATAGAACAGATGATAAAGAAAGAGATGCAGTGTCAACATTACCAACACCACAAATGGGGGAAGAAGAACCATTAGCTAGGGTAACAATTTGTGATGTGGAAGTTTCAGAGAGGGAAGAAAACACACCTGGTGTCCCGGTCATGTGATCAGAGGCTCCAAAATCAATAATCCAGTGAGAAGGTTTGGATGCCAGACAGGCCATACCTGAGTGTGCAAGAGTGGCAGTGGTATGTTGTGAAGTGGCCTGAAGGAACCTCTCATACTCATCTTGTGTTTCACTCATCATCTCCTTCTCGAAAGCAGATGTAGATGTGGAAGGTGTTTGATCTGTTTGTTGGTTATCACTCACATCACCCCCACTAGCAACTGCATGATTAGCCCATGTAGAAGGTGGGCCATGTAGATCATAACAGAAATTAACTGAATGTCCTTCCTTGCCACAATGTGTACACTTCCTAGTAGTGTTGCCTCTTCCTTTACCACGACCCCCGCTGAGTCACGACCACCACCACTTCACGACCACCACCACTTCCATCACCACGACCAAACATGGGACTACCATGACCTCCTCGAAATGCATGCCCTCCCCCTCTATTACTACGTCCACCTCCTCTAGCTACAACAAATACTAATCTGTCAGACGTTGTGGTACTCTATGTGGGTCCCAATGAAATCCTTCGAAGCCGAGCAAATACTTCCTCAAGTGTAGGAAGAGCAGAACCTCCTAATATTTGTGTTCTAACTGGTTCATACTCTGATTTCAGTCCCTCTAAGAACCTAATTACATCCAGTTGCTCCCTTTGTTGTTGCTGAATTTTAACATCTGGAGTTAGGGGATGATAGACATTGAGTTCATTTATGAGGTTTCTCATACTGGCATAATACTTTTCTAGGGTTTGATTCCCTTGTTGCAGATTGAAATACTCTTGATAGAGCTTCTCATAGTATTATCCTGACCAGAGTAAAGTTTTTTGGCATGTTCCCATATTTCCTTAGCTGTATCCAAGAACATAAAGTTGACACTTATCTTGGGTTCCATACTGTTCCACAACCATGTCATGATTTGGGCATCTTGTTCCCAGTCATCAAACCCTGGAGATTCAGCTGATCGTTTATCTTTCTTCACATGTTTCACCTTCCTCTTTGCCTTGAGAAAAACTTCCACTGATTTGGCCCATGGCACATAATTTTCACCATTAAGTTTAATTGATGTCATTTGTACATCTAGATAGTCTGAGGGGATCATCGCACTAGATTTCTGATCACTACCACCATCTTCAGTTGCTGCCATTGTGTCCCCCAAAACTATTTCTAATTCTGAATTATCAGCCACCAAACAAATACTGTTGTCAAGTCAACACTACAGCAGTCTCCACATCACTTATAATAACCTCTCAACCAGTCACAATAAAGAACTTGATGTAAACTACCTTTCAGACACATTCAACCACTCTTTCAGCCCAATTTCCTTTTTCTTTTCACACTACTACTGATAAATAATCACCATGACTGTTACTCAAACAACCACCAAGGACCCTCTTGAAACTGTTCAATAGAGGGTCTGGAACGCTACAGACACCACAACACGACTACTAGGGCTGTTACTCATGGTGACAGCAGTATTAGAACTGTTTTCCTAGGGCTGCCGCACCTTCCTAACACCTGTAATGAGGATTGCGGCAGTCCTGGATTAAAAAAAAAAAACTTTTGCCGCAGCTACCTACCTGTGTACCTTAGATCGCACAGCCCAGAGAAGAAGAAAAGAAGAAGAAGAAGAGATCACAGGTCAGGATACTTGAAACCGCAGCCTTCTTCTCCTTTGTTTAGCTCTCTGATACCATGTTTTAATGGTTCGGACCAGTCCTGTTCTGAGAGAAAGAAAGAGAGAGAGAGAGAGAAGAAGAAGGAGAAGCTGTCGAACTAGTGAGATAAACCCTACTAGTCGACCATAATTTCTATTATAATGTAATTAGAGTACAAGGTCAAATATGCCCCTACTTAAGTATGGGACAAGTGAATTACAAAAGTCAAAAACGAATTGCCACATCATCATATAACTTAAAACATAATGAAAAGACTAATCTATCCTTACTCGACCAACTCTAACAGCTGCCAACATAGGAACCCTAAATACTTGGGTTCATACAAACAAAACAACAAAGAACTGGAAAACTAGTTCCGGTGTCAAAACAAGGATGAAAAAAATTTCCAAAATATTTCTACAGCTCAGAAAATTATGCAGCCACCTTCAGAAGATCAAGAAGATCAACAATATCATAGTGATGAAATGCAACAGGTCTCATTGCCTAACAAGGTTCCAACCAATTGGACAAGGTAGAACAATTAAATATGTAATTTTCAACACTTTTAATTGGAAGATTGCAAAAAGAAAAAAAAAAAAAAACTGAAACAACCTCTAATCAGCAAACAAACCACACCAAAATTCATCTAATATAAGTGTTCACCAACCTTTATCATCTCATTCTTGGGCTGCCACCAACCATATGGACAGCATATGCCATCCAATAGTGTGGTGATGTTAGCAAGTACGCTTGTTAGATATTCCTTTTTGATCTCTGAGTGCCTTGATACCAAGTTGTGAAATATTTTGCAGAAAAATAGATGAAAAAAGGAGAAGAGAAAGAAAAGAATTAGGGAGGTGGGGTTGTGAGAAATCAGTCAAATTATCTCATGCCCCTCTTTCATTAGAGTTCAGATCAGGTCCCACCAACCAGTCACAATGGCCATTATAGCCGTGCATTGACTCCTTTCATTTCAAGATGTTCCCAATGCACAGTTGCAATGGCCGTTGTGACTGGTTGTTGGGATCCTATGTTGGGACCAGATCTGGACTCCTTTCATTAACTTTTGTATTGTGGTAAAATTACAAAGGTGCCCTTTATTAGGCACCTAATAAGCAGCCCAAATACAACGAAAGTATTGCCCTCTATCTTGTTAACAGGTAGAATGGTCAATGGTTGGGTATGATCTGTAAGAGAATACACATATTTCTTTTTGATAATTGAGAATACACATATTTCCAGTAAAGGCTTTATCAATTTGTTGGTAGGTCAGTTTAAGGAAATTTTAACCAGCAAACGCATTAATTTGGTTAGAGGAACTAGACATATCTCAAATATTTGTATTTGTTCTTCATAAAAAACCTCAAATGTATCGTTCGATTATAGATATAATTTTCCAATTTGATTTGTTTTTAAATGTTAAGTTTCATCCCAATACAGCACATTAAAACAGAAAAAGGAAGATAAAACCAAAACTGTTTTTATTCTTCCAATCTTTTCCCTGCCAGAAAATATCTTTCAGGGACATATTTATGAATGCATATAATTTGATCCTACCAGTGATTTTTCTTTCCCAAGTGGAGGTGAATGTGGAATCTGAACTGAAAGGTCATTTTTTATCTTTGAAGTGCCATCAATTTTGTAGTAATCATAGAGCATCTTCTAGATTGTTTTGCATTCCCTTTCTCTTGATATGGAAAGATTGGATGTTTTATGTAAAACAGGAAAAACCTACCGTCTTCGAGTACACAATGTTGGCATCTCAACTAGCTTGAATTTCAGAATCCAAAATCACAACCTACTTCTTGTGGAGACAGAAGGGTCCTACACTGTTCAACAGAACTATACAAACATGGATATCCATGTGGGTCAATCATATTCATTCTTGGTCACAATGGATCAAAATGCTAGCAGTGATTACTACGTTGTTGCAAGTGCACGGTTTGTCAACTCATCTGTTGGGGATAGAGCTTCAGGTGTTGCCATCTTGCATTACTCTAATTCTCAGGGTCCTGTTTTAGGTCCTCTTCCAGATCCCCCTAATGAGTATGACACATACTTCTCTATGAATCAAGCAAGATCAATCAGGTTATACTTGCACCACAATTATTCATTGGGTTCATTTATGCTATCTACAGATTTTCTTATAAATGTTAGGTTTTAAAATTTTCTTTATTGATGCCATTTAATCTACAGATGGAATGTCTCTGCTGGTGCTGCTCGTCCTAATCCACAGGGATCTTTCAGATATGGTCAAATTACTGTCACAGATGTATATATATTGCTTAACAGACCTGCAGAGCTTATAAATGGAAAGTGGCGAACTACCTTAAATGGTATTTCATACTTTGCACCTGCAACACCCCTAAGGCTTGCCCAGCAATTTAACATTCCTGGAGTTTTCAAGTTGGATTTCCCAAATAGAATGATGAACAGACCTGCAAAGGTTGACACATCAGTAATTAATGGTACTTATAGAGGATTTATGGAAATCATACTCCAAAACAATGATACTACTGTTCAAAGCTACCATATGGATGGATATGCATTCTTTGTTGTAGGGTAAGCACTGCAGTTTGACATCCTTATCTGTTTATTTCTGTATATTATACAATTGAGTCATAAAACTTGTTCTCATTTATGTACCTGGCTTGTAGTATGGACTATGGAGTATGGACAGAGAATAGCAGAGGCACTTATAACAAATGGGATGGAGTTGCTCGTTGCACGACACAGGTATTTCTGTCCTAAAACATAGGGATATCAGACCTCATAATCAGATATAAGCTTGTGACTGCAGTTAACAACTTAAACTCCATCCATGCCTTATCCCAACTATATGGAGTCGCTACATGAATCCTGTTTCACCAATCTGTTCTATTTAAAGCCAAATGCACTGTTAAATTGTTACTGCTTAAATCATTTCTTACTACTTATACCCATGTCCTTTTTGGTCTACCCTAGCTCTTCTAGCCCCTTCCACTTGTAATAAATCACTTCTCCTCACTGGAGTTGTTGATGGTCTATGCACATGAGCAAACCATTTTAATCTATTCTCTCTCATTTAACCACTTATTGGAGCTATTCCTAGGTTTCTACGGGTGGCTTCATTCTTGATCCTATCCTTTCTAGTTTTTCCACTCATTCAGCTTAGCATCCGCATTTCTGTAAAACTCATTTTCTGAACATGTTGTTTCTTCACTGCCCAAGACTCTGCTCCATACGACATAACTGGCCTAAAACTGTTTTATAAAATATTTCTTTTAATCTGAGTGGTATTATCCTATCATACATGTTGTTAGATTTAGTTTTATTTCTGTTGTCAGAGTGCTGTCAGTCTAGGGTGTTGTCAGCATGTTCTTTTCTTTGTTTATGTTTTTTTTTATTATTAGGGTGTGCCGCTAGGGGCATATTTATAACTCTCTTTCTTTTATTTTTACATCATATTATTATAAATGAGAAGCTGGGCGCCGCCAGCTAGAACTTTTGTCTCCCAAACACTTTTCTTCCTCCTCTTCTCTTCTCTCGTCTCTCCTTCCCTCTCTCTCCTCTCTCTGTTCTAGAAAGAAAACATGGTATCAGAGCACAACTCTGGGCAATAGGAGTCTCTTTTCTTCTCTGAATCACATCAATTCAACCCAGTTTTCTGATTTCTTGGACAGTGAAGGCAAGAAACCCTAATTGGACCAATCAGAACCACCTCTTGTTGTTTTTTCTGGGTTCTTCCTTGGTAGTAAGAGGGGGCTGATGCTGTGAAGGCTCTTTTTCCTTTGGCCGATGCTGTGAAGACTTGGTCTTAGATTTGCACCTTTGTACAGGTGCTGTACAGGGGTGTGTGGTCCCCTTTGTCACAGGCATGTGTCGTGATTGGTTGGTGTGTGAAGTGTGTAGTCCAATGGTGACTGTTCCTGGATTGTTTATTTGCTGCCAGTGGATTACAGCAGTGTTTTCCTCATAGTTTTCAAGGCACCTAGGCGAGGCTAGGCGACCATAGGGCGCCCAGGCGCCCAGGCGTCACCTAGGTGTTGGAATTTTAAAATGTGTGTTTTATTGAGTTTTTACTTTATATATGCTTTTCTAAGTCATTTTAATGGTTTTATGTTTTAACTAGCAATCATATACACTCACTATTAACACTATAAATCACTCAAATGAGTATAAATTTCATATAAAAAGCTAAGAATATAAAATATTATCAATAAAAAGGAGTCTAAACCAACTAGATATATATGATATATGATATATATATATATATATATACACATCATATATATGATATATGATATATATAATCAATTAATCAATGAATCAAGTTTCAGACATGTAATTCAGCCATAAAGAAACATTTGAAGAAGAGAATCCAATTCAGCCATACAATCACTGAATCAAGTTTCAGCCATATAATCATATATATTAATGATATAAAAAATTGAATGAGATGAAGAAGAATTAAAGAAGAGATTAGAGAAGAATTGGAGAAGAGAAGAAGAGTAGGTTCGGCAGCTTCGGCAGTTGAAAACTGAGATGATTCAAGTGTGAATCATGACTGAAATACTGATTGAGTAGGGCGGAGCCCCTGTTTTTTTCAAAAACAAAAAAAATGGACTCATGGGGTGGACTGACGGCTGAGAGAGTGAGAGTGACTAACTGAGAACAGCTGGACTCATGGGGTGGAGAAAGGGAGGATTGAGGAGTATAGGGGCGGAGCCCCTATTTTTTCAAAAAAAATAAAAAAAAAAGAAGAGGACTGGCGAGCCCCTATTTTTTCAACTGAAATCTGAGAAGAGAAGAAGAAGAAGAAGAAGAAGAAGAAGAAGAAGAAGAAGAAGAAGAAGAAGAAGAAAGGGAGGACTGGCAGAGCCTCTGTTTTTTCAGAAAAAAAAAGGAAAAAAAAGTTTGATACTCTAAAATCTGGAAAAAAAGTCTGAAACTCTGTAACTCTTAAACTCTGAACTGAAGTTATCAACTTACCTGCTCGAACTAAGGTGCGATGGAGCTGGGCTGCTTGAGCTTGCAGTGTGTTCACCTGTTCGGTTCTCCTCCCTCTCCAGTTGAACCAAAACCCTTGTGATACAAGGGTTAGAAAAGAAAATAGATATACTAAAATTATAAAATGTATAATTCTCTTAATACTACAATGATACAATGTAACAAGTTTATTTTAAAAGAATACAACAACCAATGAAATATCAAACTAATAAATTTAAAAAAAAATATATATTTTTTTAGATGCATGTAGGCACCCGCTTAAGTCTCTAGGTGGGCGCCTAGTGCGCAAAACATATGGCGTTTGGACGAGGCGCTCTTTGAAAAGCGCCTAGTCGCCTAGGCGACGCCTTGACAACTATGGTTTTCCTTATTTCTGGACTGCTTCTGCACTGTTTAGTTGCTGCTAGTAGACTTCAGCAGTGTGCTCTTTATTTCAGAAGTAGATTTTTTGGTGTCTAGTGTCCTAATTGTGACTGTGAGAGGTAGTAGTAGAGGGGGACTGGTCTTGTGCACCTGTGGGCTTTGTTGTGTCTTGTAGACCTTGTTTTTGCCAATGGAAGATGATGATTCTGCCTCATATGGGGTTACATCAACTAATAGTACACCTGGTATGGGAGCTGAAAATATGATGTTTCCTATGCCAATTACCCCTTCAAACGGCCTGAACTACCTGGAGTGGATTAAAGGTGTAAAACTTTATGTAACAGCAAGGGGAAAAACTGGTTATGTAGATGGAAGAGTGAAAGAACCCAAGAGTAGGACAGTTGAACATGATAGGTGGGACCAAGAAAACAGTATGGTGATATCCTAGCTTCTTGCAGACATGGAACCTGATGTGAAGAACTTTATGTAGGTAGACAATGTGAGTGAGATATGGGAATAGGCCAAAACCACCTATTCTAAGCAAAGGCACTATGCCAAGATTTATCAGTTACAAGCTAAATCCTCGACTTGAAAACAGGGAAATCGTAGTTTGTCAGCCTATTATTTAGCCCTTACTTCAGTATGGAAGGAGTTTAACCACTATCAGGATATAGAATGGAAAAATAATGATGATGCTAAAGCCTATAAGAAGCTGGTTTCTCAGTAGCGGGTTTTTTCCTTGTTGGGACTAAACCCCGTATATGAACCTCTTAGAGTTCAGATTTTAGGAAGTAAAGAGATGTATGGCCTTGTTCAGTTTGAGGAAAGTAGGTGGAGTGTGATGATTACAATTGAGGGGGAGCAACAAGTGGCGTTATCTTCAATGGGTGGTAATAATATGGGAAAGAAAAATGACTCCAAGAAAGTTGATGATAAGGACAAGTTATTTTGTATCCACTACTGGCGTTCAAGATCTACACATGAGTACATGGCACATGCTAGGAGCTCTATGGAAGGCCAAAGTGGGTTGTAAAAAACCAAGAACAGGGTAAGGTGCAGGGTCAGAAGAAGCCTAATATAGCACATAATGCAGTAAATGTGGCAACCCAAGATACTTAGTTTGTTGAAGTGTCAACTGGTACTGCTTGGGAACACTTCACTAGTTCTAACCCCAAGGAAGATATCATGGACTCCTTTCATAGTCATTTTGGATCATATGGTGGGCTTTGTGCTAGATGGACAGTTCAATTATGGGTACCCCTTATACTTCATTTGTGTCTACATTAGGTAATGCAGCCTCTGCCTTCCATGTCTCCACTGCCATTGATTCCTCCTACATCATTGACTCAGGGGCCTCTAACCACACATGACAGGTAAGCCAAACCTTTTTCAGTCTTATAGCCTTTTGTCAGGAAAGGATAAGGTGAGACTTGCAGATGGATCATTCTCCTCCATTGCAGTTCAAGGATCAATGTCCCTTCCTCATGGACTTAACTTGAATAGTGTTTTGCATGTCCCTCAACTTCCCATCAATCTACTTTCCATTACTAGTATCACAAACTCTTTCAACTGCAGTGTAACCTTTTTTCCTAGTTCATGTGTTCTACACTCTCGACAATAAGACTGGTTTCTCTGTGTCATCCTTAGAGTCGCATAGTCAGTCAAATAGGAGTCAAATTTTTTTATGGCATAATCGGTTAGGTCATGTGTCTTTTGAAATAGTGAAGTCTTGGTTTCCTTATTTATTTAAGTCATGTCTATTGTCAAACATGTCAATTGAGAAAGCAATGTAGAACAATATTTCGTTCAAGTAATAAAAGATCAAGTTTTCCTTTCCATATTGTGTATTCGGATGTGTGGGGGCCTACTACTATAACTTCAAAGGGCGGGTATAAGTACTTTATCACATTCATTGATGATTTCTCCCGCTATACATGGGTATTTCTCATGCGTAGCAGAGATGAAGTTCCAAAGATTGTGGGAGATTTCTAGAGGATGGTGTTTACACAGTTTCATGTTGAAATTCAAAATTTTCAATCAGATAATGCAAAGGAATATTTCCATGAGCTCAATGAGTTCTTTGCTTCTCATGGACCCATTCATAGGAGCTCATGTGCAAGAACACCACAACAAAATGGTGTTGCAGAAAGAAAGAACAGACACCTCCTTGAGGTAGCACGAGGGATGATGTTATACATGAATGTACCAAAACGTTTTGGGATAGATGTTGTACTTGCCACTGCTTATGTCATCAATCACATGCCCTCCAGGGTGTTGAATTACAAGTCCCCTCATCAGTTGTTGTTTCCTCAGTCTCCTTTGTTTTCCATTCCCATGTGGGTGTTTGGTTGTTGTGCTTTTGTTCATGCTTTATCTCTGTCTCG